GCATAGCTGAAGGGACCGATGACATAAACATAGTATCAGAGATAATTAGGCATATTGAACCATCTGCCGAAAATCACCGAGTCAGCATCACTCGCCTTGGCAGAACAACTTCAAGTAATCGTTTAATTAGAGTTGTGTTTTCCTCACCTATTATCGTCAGCAATATTTTGCGGAAGAAAAACTCCATCCTTAGACACCCCACGCTTCGTCACGTAAAAATCTCTGACGACAAAACCAGAGGTCAAATGCAAGAACTACAACACCTTCGCGAAGAGCTTAGATGTCGTCAAACAACAGGCGAAAGTAATATTACTATAAAATACGTTCGTGGTAAACCTTCTATAGTACACACAGCTACCCAGGAGATCACACCTTCAAAAAACTGATAAATTCTGTGGCAAACTGGACGGGTTGTTACACTAATATACAATATCTCTTTTCTAAGCTACTTGAACTCCAAGCATTTGTTCGAGACAATAATCCAACGCTCGTTTGCCTTACTGAAACATGGCTCCATTCCAACGTGTCCGACTCTTCCATCAATTTGCCTGGTTACTATTTATACAGAATGGATTCACCACGCACTCCTGGTTTTGGTGGAGTATGCATTTATGTTCGCACGGAAATCGGGTCGGCTTTCTCGGTATCTCCCTCTTTCAGTCCTTTAGATGGCATTGACAATCTATTTTTGGAATTGAGGTGCCCAAATTTCAGCTTCACGATAGGCTGCATATATCGGCCACGGCCCTGTTTGGGAGACACACACCTGTGCAGTCTCATTTCAGATCTCTTAAATAAAAACACCAACCTTTTCATAGCTGCTGACTTCAATCTACGTGACATTAGCTGGCCTATGTCAACCATTCCTGAATGCAATTCTTCTTCTGCTGCTTACATCGACTTGCTACGCAACTCTAACATATCTCAACTTGTTGATCGTCCAACGAGATTCAGGGAAGGACAGACGCCTAGGGCTCTGGATTTGATATTCGTTAACGACGCCGACTTTGTTTCTAATTTAGATTATTTACCACCTTTTGGCAAGTCTGACCACTGTTCACTTTTATCTTCTCTCCAGTTCAATATAAATAGTCGTTCTACAACCGATAAGTTTAAAACCATCAAAATTGTAAACCACGATGCTCTTAACCAAGCCCTGTCTGAAGTCAACTGGCCTGCTTTGCTTAACAACCGTAGCACCCAAGATATGTGGGACACTTTCGCTCAACGAGTCCTAAGCGAAACGGCTGACAATGCTGTTGAAAAGAAGGTATACTGTGACCCCTCAAAGCCCTGGATCAACTCTAACATATCGAGGATGCTTCGTCACAAGAGATCTTTGTGGCAACGGTTTAGGAGGAGTGGCCATTCACAAGATTACGTGTCTCATCGATCCTTTTCTAACCTCCTATCTAGAACGTTACATAATGCCAAACATGCTTACGAACGAAAACTCGTTACCTCCAAAAATAAGAAGAAGCTGTTTCGGTATCTAAGAACAAACCTGAATTCCAAAGTTTCATCACCACAGATCCGCGACGCTGACGGTCATCTCCACATGGATGCCACCGAATCTGCCAACTTACTGGCAGAGTCCTTTAGTGATGACTTCGTCGATGAGCCTAATTGAGACCTTCTACCGACCACTATCTGCCTTAGGTGTCCCAACAGCCTTTGCGAAGTTGAGTACCTGCCTGAAGATGTATTAATGCACCTGCGAAATCTGAAGACCTCCTCCTCCCCTGGTAAAGATGGGATGACGGCTGCTGTACTTAAAAACTGCTCTTCAGCACTGGCCCTACCATTAAGCTTGATATTCACATCGTCTTTTAGATTTCATACCCTACCCTCATGCTGGCTTAGTGCTTCTGTTACCCCTGTATTTAAAAAGGGCGACAAATCCTCCGCTAAAAATTATCGACCAATAAGTCTCGTTCCTATCGCCGCCAAAATAGCTGAAAGAATCATATTAGATAAGCTCCTGTCATTTGCTTTCGAAAATGACCTTATCCCTAAGAATCAGCATGGATTTCTCCCTGGTCGATCAATAATGACCAACCTTCTCCACTCTCTCAACGATTGGACTCAGTATCTGGACACAAAGACTCCTGTTGATATAATCTACTTAGATTTTTCTAGGGCTTTCGATCGCGTACCACATAGAAGACTTCTGTTTAAGTTGGAATGTATGGGAATAAGAGACGAGTTGTTACTGTGGATTAAGGCTTTTCTCACCGGGAGGACTTTCTCTGTGCGCGTCAGTGATAGCCAGTCTCACCTTCATCATGTAGCAAGTGGGGTTCCTCAAGGCTCTGTCTTGGGGCCAGTGCTGTTCCTTCTGTATACAAGTGCATTGATTTCCTCCACATGTTCACCTTATGTCGACGACACCAAGATTTACAATACTGTCGTAAATTCTGCTATGCTTCAACGAGATCTTGATATTGTTTGTCAATGGTCAGTCAGTTGGCTTTTACCCTTAAATCTCACTAAGTGTTGTGTCCTTCACCTCGGGAAGACAAATCCGCGATTTACATACAAGATCTCTGACCACAACATCGAAGCACTTTCCAGCCACACTGATCTGGGCGTTGTAGTCAACGATCGTCTTTCCTGGTCAGAGCATATTCACCACGTTATATCAAAAGCCAAGAAACTTCTATACATGCTGGAGAGATCTTTCAAATGATCCGATGTCAACACTTGCGCCTACATTTACAAGGCATTCGTGAGGCCAATTCTTGAATTCGCTGGCCCGGTATGGGACAGTGTGCTTCTGCGCGATAGAAATCTCGTCGAATCAGTACAGCGTCGGGCTACTCGTATCCCTTTTGGAGCACGAAGACCAAGCTATGAAGATCGCCTTGAATTATTCAACCTGACCTCATTCTCTGAGCGAAGACTTCGTGGCGATCTTATAGTTACGTTCAGGATACTTCATGGTTTGATGGGCACCAACCTCATGCATCTATACCGTCTGTTGCGCAGCAATCTACGCGGACACAGCTTCAAACTGTATAAGGAGCCATTTAAAACAACAGTCCGACAGTGGTTTCTTCCCAACCGCATATTCAACACCTGGAATAGTTTACCTGAAAGTGTGGTTGGTGCTACTTCAGTTAATAGCTTCAAAGTGCAGTATGATAGCTGGAGGAGTGTACAAACTTTATAGCTGTGAACTGTCTTTTTTTATTTTTTTCTATTTGATGTATTTGTGTTACGTGTCCGTACACTATATTTACTGCATGAGCTTATAGTACTGTGTACTCTGCTCATCTCAATTATAATAATAATAATAATAATTTAAAACAAATCATCTCTCTTGAATTGTTTTTCTTTTCGATGCGCCATTTTTGAGTAAAAAAATAAAAACAGTTCTATTGTCTAACTTGCAAAATTATTATTAATTTAATTGGAAGACAAAAAATACACATAATTAATATAGGTTCTTTAATGTAAAAATCTCATAAAAAAATGGAACATTTGGGAAAATCAGACAAACTCTCGAAAAATACTACAAGATATACCTAACTCGAAAACATAAAAAACATTATTCAGGTTCAAAATGAATATCAACAGTTTCATTTTCATCTTGAGCGACATGTGTATAGGACGTTATTCTATTAATCATATTTTGAGTAACATTAAACTTATAACGTTCACGATTTACACTTTGAGATGCCAATAAAAATGAATTTACTCTATCATTGTACAAGCGATTTCGGACATCTGTTTTGATTAAATTTACTTTTGAAAACATTCTTTCGCATGCGGCATTTGAATGAGGAATTACTAATGAATCTAATACAAAATTTCCCAATTCTCTAAATACGTAAACATCAGAGATGTCGTGAATTTGGGAGATTTTGTACCAGTATTTATCGATTGATGTTTCATCCTTTATTTCATCACTGAAATTTGGTTCTGACTGGCGATACATCCGCCACTGATCATCAATTCTTTGTATTTGTTCAATATCTTGAGGATCTACAATTCTGGGTAGTAACTTAATTAATGGAAAAAGCGATGCTGGTTTTGGTAAATAAATACTGATATTTTTGACAAAATATTTTCATTAAAATCAAACCGTTTTTTCATTTCATTTGCAGAAGTTATTAAAAATTGACGGCACCGCATGTAGAAATCTTCTTTTTCCTTTTGACTTAATTTATCAATGTTCTGAAGTACGCGAACACCAAGGTATATCTGTTTCAAGTCAATGAACCGACTAGCATTGTTGGGATCGATTTTACCTATTTCGGTTTTATGAATATAATTTGATTGTAAATAGCTTAAACAAATTTCTTTATAAGTTTCACAAACTACATCATAAACGTGTGCAATTATGACACGCTCACTTTGAAAGTAATCATTTAATTTTACAAATTTTGGTAAAATCCAATGAAGAAAAAAGAAAAAAGTTTTGTTTCCATATCATTAAGTCTATTGGCAACAACTTCTGAAGCTTGCAGTCTATGTTCGGTCCATTCTTTAACAAAATATAATTGAAGGGGATTCCATTGCTCAATTATCCTTTCCACTACCATAAGTAACGAAAGCCACCTAGTTTGTGAAGGACGTAAAATTTTGTGAGGCTCCACATTACAAAATGTCTGAAATTCTGTAAATTGTGCTTGCCGTTTGGAGCTATTTTTAAAGTAACAAAAAATATTCCTAGCTAAATCTTCACAATGACGGGGCAAAACTTTACAAGCCTCACTGGCACAAAGATGCATTTTTGAACTATAATGCCAGGAAGATTTAGTTTTAACCTACTTACTACTGAGTTATTGGCACCAAACATAGTGTTACAACTATCGCAACCAAATCCTATAATATTTTGGAAAGGTATATTGTTAGACTCAAATAAATCCATATTTTTTTTATAAAGAACTTCTGCAGTCGCCCCTGTATTTGCTTCATCTGGATTTTGATTTGAAAAACATTGAACCAAATTTAAAAAAATTGTAGTTACCTCATTTGTTTTTTCACTAAAGTACCTAACACATACACATATATGTTTTACTACACCTATGTCTGTAGATTCATCTACTAAAATGCTAAACTTTTTTGCTTTTAGTTCAGCGATTAGTTCTTCCAAATGAGATTTGGCTAAAACATGTTTTATAACACCTGTTGCTTTGGTTCTTCCCATCTGCATTCCTTGGGCAATTTTCGAGTCAGGAAATATGTCTTTTAATAAAGGAATCAGATGATCACACAGCTTGATGGGTAGATTATGCTCTGATATTAATGCAGCAATTTTTATTTCTGCCCTACTCACTTGACCACTAGCTTCGTTTTTATTAGAAGACATAGTAGACATTTTTGGTTGATTTTTCGCAATCACCTTTACATTTTTTAAATGTTTAGCTCCCTTACTGTGATTTTTCAATACAGTTAAATCTGCTTGAATTTCACTATCACAAGCAATACATTTTGCTCGAGTGGGTTTTTCTAAAAACAAAAATGCATATCATTAAAGGTATAAAATGGTTTTATGTTATTTTTTATATTTTTGTGGTCTATTTTCTCGTCTGTCTACGTTTTTAAACTTTAATCTTTTTGCTTCCCTTTATGAACCGAAGAATTGGAGTAATCATGATGATCCCCTTTGCTGGTACTGGCCATTTTATTTCACTATTTGATCACATCAACACACATTAACAAGGACTCATTCGATCAACTACTCTTGCTCGTATTGAAAAAGAAACAATGAGGATTACTGTATTCCCCTGCGTAGGCTCAAATTCACCGAGACTCGAGTTCCGTAATATTTACATAGATGGCGGTAGGCTTGATTTTTATTCTAATTCCATAATAACCATGCTATTAACTGAAAGAGGTCAGCACTAATAATTATTATCCTTTTTGCTACGTTGCTTTGGTTGCATATAATTATAATAATAATAATAATAATAATAATAATAATATTTATTTACTCTAAAATACAGGGAACATGAAACGAGTAAATAAATATAATATATCCATAGGAGGACAACGCCTGTGCATGGATCATATGTATGTTGAATTGCAAAATATAATAAAATAGAGAGAAAAAAGAAATTATTGGTAAGAATGGTAGAGCATTTATTGTGTAATATTTGAGATTATTTTATTAATTTGATTCCTCCCAATCGTGTTAATAAATTTTTTTAATTTTTTTTGAAGCCTAATGTATTGCGTAATTGTTTTAAATCATTTGGTAAATGTTCGTACAATTTTGGAGCTATATACAGGTGACATCGTTTCATTAGGGATTTGTTTGGTTTAGGAACATTTTTTGCGCGTAATTTATATCTGGTTTTATGATTATGTTTAATTATGTCGTGTTCACTAATGGTTTTGTGATAATGAGTGATGGTATGTAAGAAGTAAAGTTGTTTAGTATCATATACTTGTGCATCATTATATAAGTCATTAGTTGGGTATAATTTTGATTTGCCTAAGATTGACTTTAAAATTCTTCTTTGAAGTACATCTAAATCGTTAAAGTATATCGTGCATGCAGCACCCCACACTACTATACCATATGTTATGTGTGGCTCGACTAAAGCTTGATATATTATTCGTAGATAATATTCAGTTAATATACCGGTTAGAAATTTTATTTTATATGCTATGAATCTAATTTTCTTTAGTATGTGAGAAATATGTACATCCCAACTCAAGTGGGGATCTAGATAAACTCCTAAATATTTTGTGTCATTAACTCTATTGATTTTTATATTTTTATCATTTACCTTAAACCGAAGGTGGTTATATTTTGGTAGATGATTAGATAGTGATGAAAATGGTAAAAAATGAGTTTTAGTAAAGTTAATTGTTAATTTTCGGTTATTAAACCACTGAATAATTTTGCAAAAGTCATTTTGGATAATATCTTTTAAGTCGTTCCAATCCTTACCTTTATAGAGTATAGCAGTATCGTCTGCAAAACTGACTATTTTACCAGTACTGTTAATTTTGAATATATCATTTAAATAAATATTGAATAACAGAGGACCCAAAATTGTACCTTGTGGAACACCACATTTAACAAACATTTCTTTACTATACGAGCTTAATAATTTTACTGATTGCGGTCTATTTGATAAATAATTTTCCATTAAAGTATACATCTTTCCACGAAAACCTATTCTTTCTAAGATTTCCAAAAGTATATTGTGGTTAACTGTGTCAAACGCTTTTTGTAAGTCCACAAATACGTATATCGATGGTACTTTTCCATCTATATTTTGGGTTATTTCATCTACTATACTTAATACCCCATCTGTTGTAGATTTGCCCGCTATAAAACCATATTGATTTGAATTTAGAATTTTGAATTTATTAAGAAAATTAATCATTTTATTAAGGAGTAATTTCTCAAAAACTTTAGCTAAACTTGATATAAGTGAAATAGGTCGATAGTTAGTGACGTCCATATTAGAATTAGAATTAGAACCAATAATTTTGAAAACATAGTTATAGGCTGGGAGATGGAAAAATAATATGTTACAATTATCGATTATGTTACATCTTTTTATTTACTGTATATTTCAGTAAAAAATATGGTACAATTTGATAATTACGTTACAAGTGGCAACACTGGGGGTAATGAACAACAACAACTGACAACATAAACATAACATTAAAGCCAACGAAATGATTACAAAAATTGTTGAAAATGGCCTCCTTTACTTAGTATGCATGCTTCCGCCCTCCTTCTCATGGAATTGCGCACTCGTTGAAATATCCCTGGAGTGCTTGTTATTCTATCACAAGCTGCAGATATTCTTTCTCTTAGTTCCTCTACAGAGCTAATGGGACTTGTGTACACTAGTGTCTTCAGATAGTCCCACAAAAAGAAATCTAAACTGTTAACGTTTGGGGACCTTGATGGCCATTCTTGGACCCCACCGCGGCCAATCCAAATGGATAAACAGTTTGTAAATAATTACGAATCGCTACGCTGAAATGCGCTGGTCGTCGGCAAGGCCATATACGTAATGCATTATTAACAGAATTGTAAAAACTAAATAATGAAAAAGATGTCACAGCGAACAGATTTGAATGACAGAGGCTTGCCAGATGTCAAAAGCCAGTGACATATTCCAGAGCAACTAGATATTTATTGCTAAATTCCATTCTTGAATTATTACATTACTTTTCTCGGACAATAGAACGTCTTTTATTTTTCTACTCGACTCTAGCTAGCTAGCATTTTTCGGAGAACTCTAAATAAAAAACATAAAATTTCCGTTGCTTAGGAAAGCGTCACTATTCCCGAATTAATTACAGAGTCGTGACAAAAATAGCTGCAGTGGTTTCGTGAAAATAAAAGAGAACAAGAGAAGGTTAATCGTCGTATTAACATTAGCATGCCCAAATGAAGCACATAATCTAGACGCCTTTCATTGTAACACATTTGTGCACATACGAGGGCGCATGAAAATCTTTCCTCCAGAGATGGTGGTACGTTATTGAATTAGTATTCGAGTTTGGTCATGATTAACAGAAACGCCTGCAATTTTTATTTCCCATGCCGCTGGCTGTTGAAACAGGCGAGCGTACAAGAGATTGGCGGACGTCCCAGTGACGATGTTAGGAATAATTTAGGCATTGCTTTTGCTTTTTTGTATCATAAGTAAAAACTTTTGAGATTTTGCGTACTAGAGGAGTATCAGCTGAATCCGATCTACCTTCTCTCAGATATCCCTAACAAAGGGTTCTTAATGTTGCAACCAGCATATCAGTGAAATATGTCCTATTATTCAATATGAAGACACAGTTCCTAAATTAAAAAGAATTCAGTCTAGCATAAAAACATTACATAGATTATAATGAGTTGAACTGAAAACTATCTGATGAAAACTGGTCAGAGATATATAATCAGCATGATCCTGAAAAGGCATTTGATCCTTTTACCTTACAGCTTCAACAACATATAAATTCATGTGCAAATCGGATAATGATTCCACGAAGCAATATGAAAAGGCACCTTGGATAACGAATGGAACTATAACATCCGTTAACAGAAAAATTAAGCTGTATAGAGAAATAAAAAAATGTCCACATGATTTAGAACTTCTAAATGAATTTATATTATACAGAAATGAATTAACCACAATTATAAAAGAGGCTAAATTAATTTTTTTTAAAAATGAAGTTGACAAACTTCAAAATTCTTCAGTCAAAATGTGACATTTTATAGAAAAAATGCCAAGAAATTCCTGCTGTACACGTACCATCTGACACAGACAGAACCGATCGATACGAAATTGAACATATCATAAAGCGACTGAAAGTTAAGAAATCCCGGAATTTGATGATATAACCGTATACACTCTGAAAAAATTATAAAATTTCTAAAGTATTAACGTATCTTTTAAACACCTGGATGGAAAGAGGAATGTTCCCGACCCAATTAAAAAAGGCACTAATAGAACCTGTATTTAAATCTGGAGATAAACAGAAACCTTGTAATTATAGCCCAATTTTAGTATTGACAAACTTTTCAAAAATTTTCGACAAAATTCTTAAAAAACACTTTTCAGATTTTATTGAACAATACAACCTCATATCCGAAGAGCAATATAGATTTCAGGAAGCAAAATCAGGTCGAGATGCACTTATTCAGTCAACAACCAAAATTTACAAGTACGTTGATAATAACGTCAACAGCATGCCTTTTTGTAGACCTAACCAAAGCATTCGATAGTATTAGACCTCAAACATTATTAAGAACCTTGCAAAACTTAGGATTTCATGGAGTCACTTATCAGCTCTTGAAAAGTTATTTGGAAATCGGGACACAATGTGTGAACATCACCAGTACACTGAGTGAAAATATGATTGTTCCACAAGGAACCGTATTAGGACCACTGCTATTTAATTTATATATTAATGATCTTTTTAAGATAAAAAGCGATGGAGAAATTATTGGTTTCGCAGACGATCCGGCAATTAATTACTCAGACAAAGATTAAACTTCTTTAAAAAACAAAATTGTATTAGATTTTCAAAAGGTTACAAATTTTTTCACGGAAAGGATTTTAACAGTCAATTTCAACAAAACATACTTTATTACATTTTCTTAGGACAACAGATCTTCCCCAAATTATAATCAACACCAAATTAAAACGTTGAATAGCTGTAGAAACATACAATCGGTTGATAATTTCAAATACCTAGAGATATTCGTAGATAATCATCTAAGATGGAATAAACATATTGAAAATTTAGTGAGAAAATTAAGATACCTAAATTCCAAAAGTAGTTTTTTTTTCAGTAGTTTTTCAAGCGAAAAATATCTACACATGATATATCATGCCCTTGTTCAATCATTACTATCTTATGGAATCTTAGCATGGGAGGGAGTCATGAATAATTATTATAAAAATATTGAAATTCCGCAGAAGTGGATTTTGAAAGTTATGTTGAACAAAA